TATATATATATATTGGTTTATTAGAGACAGAATTTCTCTGTGTAGTTTTGGTATCTGTCCTGTATCTAACTCTATAGACCAGGTTGGCCTCCATTTTACAGAGATTCGCCTGTCTCTGCCTCCTGAGTGCTGGAATTAAAGGCATGTGCCACCACCACCTGACTAAATTTATATTTCTTATGTGTAATAGTCATACATGTCTGATACCATCTGGCCCTGACAAAGATTAGGACAAAAGGAGACAGTAAGTTATGGGTTTATGAAATGTCATCCTTCACAGAATTGATTGCAGAGTCTACTGCCTGACCTAGCCATAGCCCTGTGGAAGTCAGAGCCTGGGGCCTGAGGAGGGCACTTCCCCTTCCTGTGGGGCTGCTCCAGTACAACCATGTCAGGGGGAGTGTCCAGACTCCAGAGACCACACCCTGTGTCTCCTGTCCCTCCAGTCTCTGTAGCTCTGCCCATGAGCACAGCTGCAGCCTCCAGGAGGAGATGCCATGACCTTCACCTTCACAGCCCTGCTCTGTCTGGGTGAGATGTGGAGATGGGGAGGGGATACTGTGGTCTAGGGTTGATGCTGATCCAAAGCCTAGCAGTGGCCCATCAGGAAACCCTAGGATCTCAGGAGGTTCTGTAGAGGGCTAGACCTGCTCAAGCTTCAGGGACAAACCTCTAACAGGGAACTCTCTTCCAGGACTGACTCTGGGCCTCAGGACACTTGTGCTGGCAGGTGAGTGTCTGCAGATGTTCTGATCTTCACTTGTGATCAATCCTGCAGCCATGCCTGGGCAGTGAGGATGGAGAACAACACATGTGTGCTGCCCCTGGGGATGGCTGGAGGGCTAGGGTTGGGGACTACAATTGGATGATGGCTGTCCTGAGTTCTGCCTGCTCTTTTTCTTGTAGGGAGCCTACCTAAGCCTAATCTCACAGTTCAGCCAGACTCTGTGGTCTACAATCAAACTACAGTAACCTTCTTCTGTGAGGGGACCAGAGTAGCCAAACAGTACATACTCTATAAAGGGAGATACCAGTATCTACGGAGCACAGAGAATCCACAGAAGCCTAAAAACAAGGCAGAATTCTCAATCCCAAAAATAGACCCCAATCAAGCAGGGCAATATAAATGTCGATATCAGATTCATGATGGATGGTCAGAGTTCAGTGACTCCCTGGAGCTGGTGGTGACAGGTGAGAGGACACACAGGCTCCCCAGCCTTAGCCTTGACTGTCAAGAATTGGTTCTGTTCACAGGGCTAACCCCACCTAGAGCCTAGCAGGATAAAGAGGTCTGATAGATTTAACTGATTTCTTCTTCTCTCCTAGGAGCACACAGTAAACCCAGCCTGTCAGCCCTGCCCAGTCCTGTGGTGACTGAGGGAGGACATGTAACCCTCCAGTGTGTCTCAAAACAACAATACCACAGGTTCATTCTGACTGGGAAAGGAACACGGACTATCTCGCAAATGCTGGATTCAGAGTATATCTTCTCTACTCAGCACTACCAGGCCCTGTACTCTGTGGGCCCTGTGACCTCCAGCCAAAGGTGGACATTCAGATGCTATAGCAATGACCAGAGAAGCCCACTGGTGTGGTCAGAACCCAGCAACCCACTGGAGCTCCTCTTCTCAGGTGAGGAACTTCAGCCTTTGTCTAGAATGATCTGAAATGATACACATGCTCAGAGAGGCCTTGGTGAGTAGTGTGGGGTGTGTGATATGTGTGAGCAGTCAGGGCTCCTTAGGCCATTGACACTGAGCATGGTAGAGAGTGTGGGACACAAGATACAGAATCCAAGGCAGGCAATAAGAGCAAAGCACAGGTGGAACAAGACAGAAGAATCTTTATGAGGCCTTCTCTTACTCCAGATCAGCTCATGTACCATCCACAAGAGCTTGAGGAAATCCACAGAAGAGAGGGAGGAAGTGTTGTAGGAAACACAAAGGTTAAGGACACCAGGAGAACATGGCCCACAGAATCAACTAAGCAGGGATCATGAGGTTTCACAGAGTTGAAGCAGCAGCCATGGAGCATGCATGGGTCTGCCCTAGACCCTCTGAACACATGCTGCGGTGGTTTACCCTGGGTTCTATTTTGTTTTGTTTTTTAGAGTTTCACTGTGTAGCTCTGTCTGTCCTGGAACTCACTCTGTAGACCAGAATGGCCTTGAATGCAGTGAGATCTCACTACGCCTGTCCCATGAGTGCTGGCATTCAAGGCGTGTGCCACCACCACCTGGCTAGCTTGGGGTTTTTATTAGACTCATAGCATTGGGATGGGGAAATCTCTGACTCTTTGCCTACATGTGGGATACTTTTCTTCCTATTGGATTGACTTGTGCAGCTTTAATATGAGGGTGAGAGCCTAGTTTTATTGCATGCTGTTATGCCATGTTTGGTTAATATCACTGGGGGCCTCTTCTCTTCTAAAGAAACAGAAAAGCAGTGGATCTGGGTTAGAGAGGTGGTGAGAAGGCTGCTTTCAGGATGTATTGTATAACAGAAGAATAAATTAAGAGAAAATGAAAGTGCCAACCACAAGTGAGATTTTCTCCATGCCACTGTCAGACACACTCACCTCCTGACTCCTGCTTTTTTGCAGGGACCCTCCACAAACCCACCATCAAGGCTGAGCCAGGCTCTGTGGTCACCTCAGGGAGTGCTGTGTCCATCTGGTGTCAGAGGAGCCTGGATGCAGAAATATGTTTTCTGCATAAAGAGGGAAGCAAAAAACACTTAGGCACACGGTCCCCAGAGAAGCGTGAGAACAAGTCCAAGTTCTCCATCCCTTCTGTGACAAAGCAACATGGAGGACAATATCGCTGTTACTGTTACAGCTCAGCTGGCTGGTCAGAGCGCAGTGACAACCTGGAACTGGTGGTGACAGGTGAGGGGACAGTCAGGGTCTCAGCCCCAGGCTCTGCTCTCAGGAGTATTCCCCTCCCACAGTCTAGCCCTGGAGAACACTGTGGCTATGTGAGCCAATGTAACAGTCTGCCTCCTTCTCTCCTAGGAATCTACCACAACAAACCCATCCTGACAGCCCTGCCCAGCCCTGTGGTGACTTTAGGAGAGAACATGACTCTCAACTGTGTCTCTAAGAAGGGATATGACAAGTTCACTCTCACCAAGAAAGATCAGAAGTTCCTCAGCTCTCAGAACTCACAGTTTATACCCAGTATCACGCAGTGGCAAGCATTTTTCTCTATAGATCATGTAACACCAGACCACAGAGGGACATTCAGATGTTATGGTTACTACAACCAAACTCCACATTTGTGGTCAGTACCCAGTGAACCCCTGGAAATATACATCTCAGGTGAGTCAGCCCCATCATTGACCAATCCTGTCCCACTAGGTAGTTTCAGATATAGAGTGGTTGGGGAAGAGCCTGGTAGCTGAGACAGAGCCCCACTCCAGGGAAGAAGCAGTGACGTGTGCAGGGCAGGAAGGGAGGGGATCAGTGTTTGGTAAAAACAGCGCCTCAATCCCTAGCCTGAAACCTTCCCTCTAGGTCTGTCCAAGAAGCCATCCTTGCTGACTCACCAAGGCCAGATCCTGGACCCTGGGAAGGGCCTCACCCTGCAGTGTTGTTCTGACATCAACTATGACAGATTTGCTCTGTACAAGTTAGGGGAAGCTGACTTCACCCAGAATGGGGGCCAGTGGACCCAGAGTGGCCTCTCCTTGGCCAACTTCACACTGGGTCCTGTGAGAAGCTCTACTGGAGGCCAATACAGATGCTATGGTGCACACAACCTCTCCTCTGAGTGGTCAGCCTCCAGTGACCCCCTGGATATCCTGATCACAGGTGAGAAACAAAACAGTTTCCCACGGATACCTAACCTCTGCTTGGGCTCTCATCGGGGAGTTAAGGAGCTGATGGCTGGGATGAGGGACAGGGATCTTATTCGGGAACAGATGCAGAGACAGGGGAACAGGAGAGGGGCTAAGTCAGAGAAAAGGGACAGAGTACCAGGTGCTTAGGGCAGACCCAGGTGAGGTGTCAGCTCAGAACATTGAAAGCAGCCTCTCACCATCCCTCTTCTCTTTAGGACAGCTTCCCTTCAGTCCTTCCCTCTCAGTGAAGCCTAACTCCACAGTACAATCTGGAGACAACGTGACTCTGATGTGTCAGTCAACATACAAAGTGGACACTTTCATTCTGTCCAAGGAGGGAGCAGCCCACCAACCCCAGAGACTAAAATCAAAGTCTGAAGCTTGGGACTTCCAGGCAGAATTCTCCATGAGTGCTGTGACCTCTGACCTCTCGGGCACCTACAGGTGCTATGGATCTCAAGACTCATCTCCCTACCTGCTGACACAAGCCAGTGGCCCTGTGGAGCTCACTGTCTCAGGTGAGGTGACCCTGAACTCTCAGAATGACTTACAATCCAAACCCTAGGAGAGCCCTTGACTTGGGTGGGATTAAGGGGACAATAGGAAGGTTAGTCAGAAGGCCTTTTCCCTGCCAGAGATGTGGATGCCAGCAGTGGTCCTTCCAATAATGTCCACTCTACCCTCTATTACAGTCTAGGTTTCAGGTAGACAGCATGAGGATCTTGGGGAGGTTAGAGGATAGTGAGCAGAGACAGGCCCCTGGGTTAGCATCTAGCCCTCACCCCCTCTTGTTCTGTTTCCTAGAACCAATTGGAGCCCCCAGCCCAACACCCTCAAAGTCCATGCCAACGGCTGGTGAGTATCAGTGCAGAGGGTATGCTCCATCCCCAGGCTGTCTCACAGCTCTCAGCTCACTGAAGTCCTCATTTCTCTCTCAGTTTAGTTTGTGAGAAAGGGAGGCAAATGGAGATCCCAACAGAGTTTCCAAACCCTGGACTAGAGGCTGGGATACAGAAGGTGGCATCCAGAGAGAAATGTTCTGGCTCAGCCTAGAGGATGGGGAGGGTGTTGAGTGGAGAGCAGAGGTCACAGACATTTGCCTCCCCATCCTGCATCTAACACCCAGAGAACAAACCTCTCTCACCTGCATGGAGTCAGCTTCCAGAGGTCTAATAAGGACTCTGTTGGAAGGTGGGGCCCAGATGAGCAATAGCTAGTTATGGGCTCCATACAGCTGCTTCTGGAGATGCTGACTTGGACCAGTCTTTCTCTTTCTGGATTGGCTGCTGTTTCTTTGAGTAAAAAGGGGTGAAGCCTGGTCCACATGTCTAAATTTCTTTCAGTGCTGGCCTTGGCTGTGACCTCTCCTGACAGAGGAGTCCCCCAGAA